GAACCAAACTTAATCAGTCGGTCACAATGCGTTTCACACGAATATCCGGCTCCGAATGGCCCAAATCTAGCCAAAAGTAATTACATATCATAAATACAACCATAATAGACTCATCTAATTAATGAAATCAATACTTTAATAAAAATTTCGAAATTCACCCTAAAAAGTTGACTCGGACCCACGTCTCGGAATCAGGTAAAAGTCACAAAATCCGAAAGCACATTCACTCACGAGTCCAACCATACCAAATTTATCAAAATCCGACCTCAAATGATCACTCAAAACCCAAAATCAACTATTCAAATCCCTAGCCTCAAACTCCCAAATTCCACCTTAAATACATACTAACTAGGTGGAAAAATAAACGGGGAAGCAAGATTATTGATAAAAAATAAGCACAAGGGACTTACCTCAAGAAATCTCTCGAAAATACTCTCAAAACTCACCCTAAACCGAGTTTGCAAAATCCAAAATGACAAAAATCACGAAGCCCTTCGGTTTTAAACACTGCCCAGGCATTCCCGCACGTGCGTGCCCGTTGGTGCAAAAAATATGGGCGTACCTGCGAAAACACTAACCCCTGGCTGCCTCCGCTTCTGCGACCACTGGTCCGCATCTGCGCTATCGAAGTTGCGGAGAAACCATCGCACCTGCGACCTCTACTGATCTCCACCCCTTCCGCACCTGCGCTCAATGTACGGCATATGCGGACTCGCACCTGCGGCTAATACCCTCGCAGGTGCGATCATACGAGCAAAAGACCAAAACTTCAGAAATTTCTCAACTTCCATTCCAAGTCCGTTAACCACCTGAAACTCACTCGAGGCCCCCGCGACCTCAACCAAACATACCAACCAATCCTAAAACACCATACGAACTTAGTCGAGCCCTCAAACCACATCAAACAACGCTAAAATCACAAATCATTCTCCGAATCAAACTTGAAGAACTTGAAACTTCCAAATTCGACAACCGATGCCGAAACTAACCAAACCACGTCCGATTGACCCCAAATTTTGCACACAAGTCATATTCAACATTACGGTAACTTCGGGAATCGGGATCCGACCCTGATATCAAAATTTTCACTACCGGTCCAAATCTCCAAAAATTTGACTTTCGCCATTTCAAACCTAAATAAGCTACGAACCTCCAAAACACTATCCGGAAACGCCCCTTAGTCTAAAACTACCTAACGGAGCTAACGAAACCGACAAAACTCCATTCCAGAGTCGTCTTCACAGTTCTGATTACGGTCCAAATCGTAAGGCTTAAACCTCCATTTAGGGACTAAGTGTCCCAAAACACTCCAAAAACCAAAATAAAACCTCCCGACAAGTCACAATAGTATAAATAGATATGGAAAAAGCAGTTAATAGGGGATCAGGGCTATAACTCTCAAAACGACCGGCCAGGTCGTTACATCCTTCCCCTCTCGTCCTCGAACGAGCATAAAGACATACCTGAAGTGGTGAAAAGGTGAGGGTAACGGTTGCGCATAACATGCTCGGTCTCCCAAGTTGCCTCCTCGACCGGCTGACCCCTCCAGTGACCCTTTACTGAAGCAATGTTCTTTGACCTTAGCTTTTTGACCTGCCTGTCTAAAATAGCCACTGGCCTCTCAACATAAGATAGATCCTTATCCAACTGGACTGAGATGAAAACCAACACATGGGACAGATCGCCGTGATACATCCGGAGCATCGAAACATGAAATACCGGATGAACTCCTGCTAGGCTGGGAGGTAAGGGAAGCTCGTAAGCAACTTCCCCAACTCACCGCAACACCTTAAAGGGACCAATAAACCTTGGGCTCAGCTTGCCCCTCTTTCCGAACCTCATAACGCCTTTCATAGGCGAAACCCGGAGCAACACTCGCTCTCCAACCATGAATGCAACATCGCGAACCTTTCGGTCCCCGTAACTCTTCTGTCTGGACTGGGCTGTGCGAAGTCTATCCTGAATCACCTTAACCTTCTCCAAAGCATCCTGAACCAAGTCTGTACCTAATAATCTAGCCTCGCCCAGATTAAACCATCCCACTAGAGACCGACACCGCCTACCATATAGAGCCTCATATGGTGCTATCTAAATGCTGGACTAATAACTATTGTTGTAAGCAAACTCTGCAAGTGGCAAGAACTGGTCCCAAGCACCCCCAAAATCTATCACACACATGGAGCATATCCTCTAGTATCTGAATAGTGCGCTCGGACTGTCCATCCGTCTGAGGGTGAAATATTGTGCTCAATTCAAACCGAGTACCCAACTCATGCGGTACAACTCTCCAGAACCGTGCGCGCCCGCTGGTGCGAAAAATATGGGCGCACCTGCGAAAATACTAACCCCTGGCTGCCTTCGCTTCTGCGACCACTGGTCTGTATCTGCGCTATCACATGTGCGGGAAAACCATCGCACCTGCGACCTGTGCTGATCTCCACCCCTTCCGCACATGCGCTTAATGTACCGCACATGTGGACTTGCACCTGCGACTAATACCCTCGCAGGTGCGATCATACCAGCAAAAGACCAAAACTTCAGAAATTTCTCAACTTCCTTTCCAAGTCCGTTAACCACCCGAAACTCACTCGAGGCCCCCGGGACCTCAACCAAATATACCAACCAATCCTAAAACACCATACGAACTTAGTCGAGCTCTCAAACCACATCAAACAACGCTAAAATCACAAATCATTCTCTGATTCAAACTTAAAGAACTTGAAACTTCCAAATTCGACAACTGATTCCAAAACCAACCTAACCACACCCCAAAGTTTGCACACAAGTCATATTCAACATTACGGACCTACTCTAACTTCCGGAATCAAGATTCGACCCCGATATCAAAATTTCCACTACGGGTTTAAATCTCCAAAAATTTGACTTTCGCCATTTCAAGCCTAAATAAGCTACGGAC